CAACAGAACAGAAAAATGTGGAATGGGAAAAACAATTTTTGATGCGAAGAATGATTGAATCAATGAGCAGATAGGACAGTAGGAACGCATGAGCGGAGATGAGATAAAAGAAACAAAACAAATATAAATGATGAGACGGAAAACAGAAGTCGAATATAAGAGAAGAACAAGACAGAGACGTAGGAAGAAGAAGGTGAACAGTTAAGGAACTCGTGGAACGGTGTACATAACATACCAGGGATGTAAGGACATCTAATAGCTAGACAGATGTATAACAAGGGTCGGGCAACGTATATGTATAAAATAAAAAGGTATACTGTCCCATACTCCAACAGTTAAAGACTTCTCATCCATATTCAAGCCATTTTCTCCCCAAACATGTGGACAGACATATCAACTCGTCGTCAGGAGTTGGCGCAGGTGCGTGCCCCCGCACTTGCGTACCCCTGCGAGTTTCAGACGGACAGACTTGAAAATAACTTCACCATGTGCAAACTTATTATCCCTGATCACCAGTGATATATACTAGTAGTGTCATCTTTGCAGTTCCTTTCTCAGAAGTCAGTTCACATGCGTGCATGCACGCACACGTGAGATTCTTCCAACTTGTGATCCTAATCAAACACATGTTAGGACCTTCTGTTGGTGAGTGTGTGAAGAAAGCATCACTTGGAATGACTGGCATCGTGAAAACATCTCTAACATGCATAGTCCGTCAAGCACGAATGACTTGCCTGGTCAGGGAACGTGGAGGCGAGAGATTAGCTTTGCCCGAGAGGTCAAAATCCAGAGCCTAGGCATGCGTCGGTTGCAGCCTGGATGCTACTGGACGGTTTCACAAAGAACGCACACATAGATGAGGAGCGAGCTACACCCAAAAAGTTGTGTCCCTTCGCACAGGATGACCCGGCACCTCCTTGGCTCTTGGCGACACAGGCATTGATCACAGAACTCATCCCTTATGACCTCCAGGCCTATAGGAGATTCTTGATTTTCCTTGTACTCCATTCAAATGTTCGGCGATCAAATAAAGAAATAGTATTTTCTCACCTCCTATTGCATAACTTAGATACAACCAACTGAAGTAGTTGTATGATAGCTTGTTGGTTGATGATATAGTCATTTTACCACAAAAGACTTCCGTACAACTTGTCACAGACAACCTAACAAGAATGTATTATTGAATTGATTACTTGGTATGGAGCCAGTTATGTAATTACCAAAGAGATCTATGCATCCAAGACTGTACATTCTGCAGGTCTCTCTCGGAATTGAACTAGAGAGTTGATTAAGATATAGGGCAAGACCTTGCAGCCTTATG